ATGGTGATTAGAAGGAAATAAAAAACATAAAACTTCATCAACAAAGCAGCATTTTCTTTTCAGCTGTTCCTGGGGGGCAAGACAGAGCTGTGAAGAGAAATCCCAGATTGAAAGCTTTGTGGTTATCTCCGCTTTTCATTAAAGTGCCCCTGATTATAATCACACCTACGATTACAAGATTTAACACACCTGGTCTCAAGGACGCACTAGGAAGAGGAATCATACATTCATCCCACCCCATTTCCTTTTCTTTATTCACTGAGTAAGCACAATTTATAAGTTTCAGTGAGTGTAAACTGCAGATGGTTTGGAGAATACAAGAGAGGTTTTCCATTCACATGGCATTTGGAAGGTGACAAAAATCCTCCATGGTCACAAATTATTTTAGCAGTGGTGAGACAAGCAGTGTTGCTTTCAATGGCTACACACAGATGTGAGAAATCTGGAGTTTCTATTTCTTCTCTCACTTTGCTAGCCAGATATTTTACTCTATGCACATGTATTCTTCCTCCGTCTCCCTCTCTCTTTCTCACTCAGTAAGGATGTATGCACTAACAGAATTTGTCGTTGTTACCAGGGATTGAACCCAACTAGGGTTATATATCCCTAGTCCCACAGTTTTCTATATTTCTTTTAATAATGCTGTGATTTAAACACATTTTTATTTTGAGATAATTTTAGACTTAGAGAAGTTGCAAAGATAGTGTAGAGGCCCTGTATTTTCCTCACTTGATCTTCCCAGTTAACAATTTACATAACAATGTTATATTAGCTAAGAGTTTCAGAGATCTTAATAATGGATGAAAAACACTGTTCTTTCTTAACTCCATCTTCTACAGCAAATTCTCAACAAGAGCTGTATGCACCCTGTTCATTTAATTATAAGAATTATTGGGGCTGGGGATGTGGCTCAAGCGGTAGCGCGCTCGACTGGCATGTGCGGGGTGCTGGGTTCCATCCTCTGCACCACATAAAAATAAAAGATGTTGTGTCCACTGAAAACTAAAAAATAAATATTTAAAAATTCTCTCTCTCTCTCTCTCTCTAAAAAAAAAGAATTATCAAGGTGTGATCCATACATCCTTGTCCTGATCAAAGTCCTAGATGACAAACTGAAGCCTCCAACCCCCAGGTGAGAGCTCCCAGTTTAGTAATTCTACCTCTACAGAAGTTCCTATGAGTCAGATCATTCTTCCCCTTTCCCTATTGTGTCATTATTAGTCACCTTTCCAATATCCATTTCCTTACTAAAGAAAATTGAATTTTGTTTAGAGCAGAGATGTCCCAGCTAAATTCATTGTCATGCTCCCTCATGGTGAGGAGTAATTAGATGAGACAGTTTTGGAAATCACCTGGGGAGGTTCTAGGAAACCTATTCTAGTTCCCCAAAAAAGGATATAAAAGTGCCCGTCTCCTATCTTCCTTCTTATTTATTTTTATGGGCTACAATGGCCACAGCTGCAGCAACTATTCTGTCCCCACGAAACAAAGGCCGTGAAGATTATAGAAATATTGGCTCTATTGACATTGAGCTGCTAATGAACAGCACCTACCTACATATTTTTTTGTGAAATAAGAAAAACAAATCCTTACTTGTGTAGGCCATTGTATTGGAGTTTTTATAATTTGTAGTTGAACATATTTACACCAGATAAACTCATTCAATACAAACCTTAACCTATACAAGGCAGAAGGGAGAGAAATGCAGCTGAGGATAAAGATCAGGGGAGTGGTCATTTGGAAATTCAATGGTCTGAGCTGAAACAATAGAAAGTAGACAGTTACAGAGAAAATGTGCCTGTGTAGGAAAGAAAGGAGGATAACTAATGAGTTCATGCTTTTACAAACAGGCATCAGGCATTTGATATGGTAAAATTCTATCCTGAATAAAGGTTTTGTTTGTGACAAAACAATCACTCTTATAATGGCTTCCCCAACACTTGGTTAAATACTGATGTGCAAGCCACAGAAGAGCATTGTGGATGCCAGGAAGTGAATTATTAATGTAAACATTGTAACTGAAATCAACTAGGAATGAGTTTCCATTAAAATCAAGAAGAAAATTAATTTTGAGGTTACTCAGTTGTAGCACACATATGGATATATAAACTTCCTTCCTGTATTGGTGGTGCACTGGGGAGAAACCCAGCCAAACCCACTTGAAGAAGGAAGAAAGTTTAATTTATGCAGCAATGAAAGTCTCATGGCCTGAACTTAGAGCTAGAAAGGAAACACCTTAAATTAAGCCCTTCAGTAGTTCAGCATGAACAATGAAATATGCCAGGAAGACAAGTTACTGAAGTTCAGGCTGCAGAGGCAGGGTTAATGTGTTCCAGCCAGCTCATTCTGGAACCCGCCCCCATGAGGAGAATGCCAGGATTCAGGGCCTCAATCTGTAAACTCATGCTCTGTTTTTTCTGTAGGAGTTACTGGGTTTGCCCAACATGTTACATAGGAAACAGAAATTCTTTACTGAAAATGCAAACCCTACCTCCTACAAAAAAATTCTTGTTGACTAATTCAACAGGGATTCAAGAGTCCATCTAGAGAAAAAGCTTGAGACTGCCTTTGTAAAAGGAAGACTGAAGACAGAAAATAAAGAGGTGGGGAAGTTACACACAACCACAAACTGACTTACCTCAGTAGCTTTCTGACTGAGTCCCCGAAGCAGCAGCACGATCACGTGGATGGCAGCTCTGCGCACTTGAACTTCATGGTCAGTTTTAGCCACAGCAATCAGGCAAGTTGTCACCTAGGAGGGTGAGGGAAGAAGTCAGTGAAAACCAGGATTGCACAATTACCTGTAGCTTTTCAACTGTGCTGTTCTTACTACACATTCATCAAGAGCAATCTGGCTTAGAGAGGGATGGATTAGTTTCCTCAGCTTTAATAAAGAAGCTGAGATCTAGTGGTAGAGGTCTTGATGCATTCTGGCTTTTCTGGAAAAGGACAAAACCTGGTTTGGAATTTAGGAGGAATGTCAGGGAGTGGGAAGGAATACACATATATATTATATATTTCAAAAAATATAAGGTCAAATGTGAATATCTCCTTAAAAAGTGGGAAAAATTAGGTAGATGTAATCCCAGCTACTTGGAAGGCTGAGGCAGGAGGATCACAATTTCAAAGCTACTTAGCAAGACTCTGACTCAAAACAAAAAATATAAAGGGCGGGGGGGAGGTGGGCGTGGTGGCACACACCTGTAATCCCAGAGGTTTGGGAAGGCTGAGACAGGAGGATCGTGAGTTCAAAGCCAGCCTCAGCAACTTAGTAAGACTCTCTTTAAATAAAAAATTTTTAAAAGGGCTGGGGATGTGGCTCAGTGGTTAGGTACTCCTGGTTTCAATTCCTGGTACCAGAAAGGAAAAAAAAAAGTGGGGTGAGGTGGGATGGGGCTAGAGGACATAGCTCGTAGCTCAGTGTTAAAGTGCCCCTGGGTTCAATCCAAAGTACTGCAAAAATAAAATTTTTAAAAAGTGGAAAAACTGTTATGTGTCCCCTTTGAGGACATAAAATCAAAGGAAGGAACCATAGTCCAAAGCATAGCTGCTTCTAGGGAATGAGGAACCTGGAGATTTAGCTAAGGAGGCTTCATAGTTCAAGATCTGACATAAAAAAGAATGTACCATTGATAAAAGTTTCAGCCCAGGGATATAGAAATAGAGAAGTATTCAAACTGATCTCCTTTAGTATGAATGTGTAGGCATCCAGTCCTATATATCTACTATATACCCCAGTAAGTCAGCAGGGGCCAGTTTCATAGACTCCCTGACTGGCCTTCATTTTGGAAGGTCTTTCTGGGCTCAGTTGCTTTCAAAGACAGTTCTATAACAGAAGAAGAAGTATTTACAAAACATGGTGCCACATATATAGCTAATAATTACGTATGTCATAAAATGGACAGTTTCTATACTTTGTACCAACCACTTTATCACTGCTTAGCTCCTTGTAGACATAAAAATATTCTAAAATTTCAACAAAGAGACACCACTAACAATAATAATAAAATAAACACAACAACAAACTTTTCCAAGGTACTCATATAAGATTTAAAAAGAAAAAGCATAACTTTTGTAATTATGACTGATGTAGCAACAATCTAAAGGTATGTCTAAATTATTCAGCTGGTCCCTCAGATACTTTGGTTACTGGATTTACTGTGTGCATGTATTTCTTGGCTATCAGTAGAAGTATTTCTAACCATGACAAGAAAATAGCCAGATTGTGTGTTTGGAAATGCATATAAATAAATATTATGTTTAAAGAATAGTGAATACAGGCACAAATGAGGAAATAGGCTTGTACAGAAATTTTCACTACACAGGTTGTATTTTTCACAGCTTTCAAACAGTTGGGCATAGTTCAAAGTATCTAATTAATCAGTGGTGGCAAAGAGATTAGAAGAAATAGCTTGTTCTTAAATACAATTGCATCTGTGATTCACTGGCATTTAATCAAATTGTGCATCTATTAGACAAACCTGCAGTTTCCAAGGAAAGAGAAACTCCAGAAAACTCAATTTGTTGGGGGCTATTTTCCAACAAGACCCAGTAAACTGCTTCTGCCTTTGACCTGGGACCCCAAACCTAAGGCTTAGCAGCAGCGTCTACGCCTCTGGCATTAACGGTAGAAGCAATTAGGTCCTCAGAGGAATTCCTTGGGTCACCTCCAAACAGGCAACAATATAATAGCTACCTCCACTTTCAGGCTTAGTATTTACAAGGTAAGAGCTGAAGTCAGAGAAACAAGTTAGAGCTAGGTCAGAGACCTTCTTGATACACTAAAGTTTAACTTATTCTGTCTAATAACTAATGTAAGAAAGCCAGCCTAAGATCACGTCACAGAGGCTCCCAAGTGTTTGCCTGTTTACCTTAGGTTCATGATTCCACATTTGGCAGACTAAGGCTTCCTAATCTAGAACCCTGCTGTGTCTGTCTTTGCCTCCTCTGTTTGGCCTCTCTATGTTGAGTGGGACATGCCTCTGCCTAGGCTCTCAGTGTAAAGCTAGCTCTAACTGTGAGACATTAATTCCACAATTGGGATATCCAGGCAAAAGTGTCCTGGTTGGCAAAGGGCTTTCCCTTGAAGGCCAATTCTTGATCCCTGTAGCATCTTGAAGGTACAGGGGAGAGAGGAGCTGGTAATTATAGGCCTTGCTGAAGTCAGCTAGAATGGCCTCCTGCTTGCTACAGGCTGCCAGTAACTAATGTGCCAGACTGTAAAAAGCCCAACTACAATGAAATATCTTGGACAATCCAGAAGAGGCCAGAGAATGGAAGAGATTCATGAACCTTCCTCAAACCTCTGTCACCAGGACCAAATCCTATGAAATATGCAAGTGTTGCTCAGTAAAGTGTCTTTTGGACATCAGGATTTTAATATGGTCTTGCAGATATCTCTAGAGTAAGAATAACCTCCTTCTTTTCCAACACTCATGCCAGCTCATATCTGCTTTCCTGCATGTGAGGTCTGTAAGAGAGACCTCCTTTTCTAACACTAGAAGCAGGAAGAATGCCAGACTGCTCTCTTCCATCTATCCAGTAGGAATGAGTCACTTCACAGCTAGTCTCTCACCTCCAGCTCCAAGGGCATACTCAACACTGCCTTCCACTCCTAAAAGCCTTGGTGAATGATAGGCAGATGATGTAAGGTCTTTACTAATTTATAAACTGGTGTAATATTTCCATTCTCTGTTTCTAAGTCCTCCCAGATTGCAGAATCTGATTCTATGTGATCTTCATGACACTTTCCCTAAGGGTCAATGTACCTAATCTAATAAGTGATATTATGGAAGGCTTTTTCTTCACTGGGTAAATCATGTAAATCATATCCACTTCTGAAATCCAAACAGACAGAAAGATGATGGCTGCTTTGGAAACATTAAAGGTCAGCTTAAGCAATTTAACACTTCACAGGAGCCAACAGAAATAAGGAAAAGCATCACTCCCAAAACAGCTGGCACACACCAAGCATAATCAGAACTATAAAAATAAAGATAATACAAATGGCAAGATTACCCAAAACTGCTAGCATGGTGGCACCTGCTTGTAGTCCCAGCTACTTGGGAGGCTAAGGCAGGAGGATCATAAGTTTTATGCTAACCCCAGCAACTTAGTGAGACCCTGTCTTAAAATAAAATAAAAAGGGCTGGGGGAAAACTCAGTGGTAGAGTGCTTGCCTAATACTGAAGGCTGGGGGGAAACACTGCCCATCACCACCACCACCACTACCAATACCAAATTACCCAAAATGGACTTTGGAAAATTCCAGGACAAGAACTAAGAAACCTTAATAGCAAAGGCAGTGTAATCAATAATTATTATGAGCTTTGCTTACTCAATCACTGCCAGGAAAGAAACTATAGTGTCTACTTGGGCTTCCTTGGAGTTTCCCATAACACCTGCCATTCCTCAGCTCAGGTATTGACAATCCTCAAACTGTGTGGGCCCTGTCATTTAGGAAACTACACCAAAGGTGGCAAAACTGGTAATAAATTTAGATCATGTAGTGGGATCACAGTGGTAGCTTTGTATCAGACCACAAAGCTCAGGTATGTGGAATTTTAGGCATAGTATTAAAACCAGACTTCTCCATAAACTTGTCACCTGTGGCACATCTTATTTGTTGGATCAAGGACAGGTCTCTTACTACACTTCACTTAAATCATATTTACATGTTATAGAACGTGATAAAGATGAAAGCCCATTAAGATTTGGTTTTAAGCAACACAGCACTTGGCAAGAATGAGAAGTTAGGGGGAAAAATAATGCTCCCTAAACAGGTTAAATCTTGACATCAACAAAGAAGAAAAACTTGAATTCCCAGTGTGAAGACTGTGGAAGGGGTGAGCCTGTACTTTTTGTTCCCTCCCTACCAACCAACACTATAGGGGCACAAACAGTGCTCACAGCTGAACCACCCAACATTAACACAGCTCTCTTCTGATGCTCATGTGCTACACAGCTAGAGGAGGGGCCAACACCTTCAGATCAGATCATGTCAGAAAAGACTGAGGTGGGTAGTTTGTCAAACTTTATATAAAAAAAGATCATGCTTCTCATCCT